CCTTTTCAAGACCTAAGCCCCCCCCCCCCCCCCTCCTGAGTTCCTGAGCTGCACCCCGCGAAGATGTACGACTTTTTGGGAAAAAAACTGTGTCAAGTTCATCCAGGCTTCCATGATGCCATAATAACGCCGTTAAAATCCTCACATTCCATTAGCCATGCGGTGATCAACGCCAATACAAATTTTATTGTGGAATTGCTCATATCTGGAGTTTGTGAGCACGGTTTTCCGTTGTAACGGTCGTCAATTGGCTCTCAATAAATGTTGTGGAAGATAGGGCGACGTAATTAAACAATAACGTATAAATGATTATTTCCATTTAAAAAGCATGCCAATAAGGAAGTCAATTTTCGCGCGAGACGCGTAGGGAGGCGCACCATCCTGCTACAGCCTGCATGTGGGCATTATCAACACACTGTCGCTAGAACTTCTCACAGAACCTATTGAAGTTAGCGCTGTTGTGCGTAGTGATCGTTTTGGCCTTACCCGGACGGTCCTGGAAGCAGAACCCGATCGTAGGACCGCCGAACGCGCACCATACAGAGACTTTGGGCGCGGTCATAGGCGTTTTGCGATCAGAGGTGTTTTGCGTCAGAGGTGGCTGCTGGTCCCAGCGGCGGTGGCTGTGGCGATTAGGGTTATATGCGAGAGAGATAGGATGATGCGATGGCATATTTTGTCCGGAGGAAAGCCTCGCGTTCATTGCTTTTGCTTCGTGTTCATCCAGAACACGATGCATTGTGCCGGTCGGCAGTAGTAAATCTCCCAGGAATTTTCTTTCACGTACCTTCGTTGTCTTCGACGTCTCTGACATACGCCTCGGGCTGCTCAGGCTAACGTACAAAAAAACTCGCTGAAACTGCACTTGGTGCCAGTTTGTATGTGTTCGTCGGTTTGGCTCGACAAGAGTGACCGAGAAAATGTTTCAAGTGCTGTGCTTCACAGGTGCACCCTTGATGTTCTGTTCACTAAATCGTCATGACGTGCACACTGGCATGTGTCATAGGTTTGTGTGTGCTGATGCGGTGGAATCGATGTGCAACGCTCTGTGAGAGCCCACCCAGTCAGTACTGGTGTACCAGTGCCCACCCAGCACTCACCCAGCTCACAATATCGCATGCTGTGAGGCGTCCACGTTGTTGAGGCTGTGGACCCGCGGAGTCCTTTTCGGCTAGTCCATGCACAACGTGGAGCTCACGGTCCACTGCCTCTCCTCAGAGGTGACGTATCGGCTGAGCACGGCGCGTCCAATGATCCGGCAGCTGCTGCTACAGTACCTGCTGCCCTGGCTGTACAACATGGAGCTGGTCGACCCCAACATACAGCAGATGAGTCCGCTGGCCAAGTTTCAGGTGAGTGGGCGGCGCCTGTCTGGCAGACCAAACGCCCGCTGCCTGCAAAACGCGGCTCACTGCCGGTGCAGAAAATGGCTACAGACTTGACTAGCAGGGACGTACCCCAGTGGTAATGGCTTCTCCTATCGGGGCTGATGGCCCGTTACATACTGGCACCGCAAGCTTCACTTTACACGTCACAATAGCTTAACCATTATGCCGTAGAATATAGTGAGTTATGATAAACATGTATATATGGATTGAAGGCCAATCATACAGAATTAAGGCGTATGCTTGTGGGAAACGCTGAGGCTGCATCATGCAACAGACCTGAAGAAGGTTCGGAACAGCTAACTTTGCCCGAAGAAAAGCTCTTGACCAATTTACCTTATGCAGCGTGATGAAACAGGCTATTTTGCGACGAAATCCCGTTAAAAGAATCATCAAGCGTGAAAGAAAAGACTCCTTGATGTCTCGAAAAGGTTTTTCCGTATACTCTCAGAGTGGATGTGCCACACTAAATACCTTTGAGTTGCCATCTCTGAAGAGACGTTTTCACGTCGCAGCCCGGCGTCGCCGACGGCGCCATGAAGTTCTCGTTACAGTATGCTGCATTCAATTCAAGACCACTGAAGTCTTAGGTGCAGATTAGGTCAGATCACTCATCCAGGACGGCTTTGTGCCAGGGCATGTAGAATGCCACGTCTACGGAATATGGCCTTGTGCTATCAATGGGTTTGAGGCCCGTTAATCACGTCCTTTTCGATTCATCAACCCAATAGTTCTCACCCCCTGGCATGACAAGAACATTTTTTGAGACCTCCACAGGTCAGTGATGTGCTTTCGCACGTTTTAAGGATATCTTCATCATGATGACATCAGTGCCGCGATCCGCATTTTTGGCCCTGAGTTTTGGCAACATGCACTTCTGCAGAATAATTGGTTCTGATTTATCCTTTCTAGAGCCGGACTGTTAAGCTCCCGCACCCATAGGTGGAACTCTTCCAAAACAATTGTTAGGGGTCCTCAGTGTAAGAATGGCCAGCTTTTGGTATAAGATTGAATGTTTTTAGACCTTCCGCAACTGACTGTTAATATAAAGTAAGTTAAAGCAATGCTTGAGGGCTGTGGAATCTCACAAAACCACTACAAAACAGCCGTTGTCGGTAGTTAAAACCTGGATATTTGTGCCAGTTTACTATGGATTAGCACGTCTAAAAGGACGAATGGGTGTTATTTTGTCACAGCGTTCGTGTGCTTGTGTGGGTAGTTACCTATTGGAATATGCTTTATATACAATGTCAATACATTTCAAAGGTCGTCATGCTCAACGTACCATGCCCCCCCCCCCTTCCCAACTAATTATTGAGTTTTCGGGCTTCTAGCTATGTTCAAGCCATATTAATTTTGTCTGGTTTCAGGGCCCCGACCGAACGACCGAACTATCTCAAAAGAATGTTTTTAAATCAGAAAATTGTTTTATGTATCTTTGTCCGTGAAAAATAAGCCCGTCGTGCCCTTCATCGTGGTCCACTGGCGACCAAAATTGCGTCTATGTTTGGTCTGCTAGTTCCATTAAACTGAACAATTGCCCTGCACCACCAAAGCGCGTTTTCATGCCGGTAGAATGTTAACGTATTTTTTCTTCTTAGCAAAGCTCGGTGCTTCTGGATTGTATCACTCTCTGTAGTTGCCTAAATAGATGATTAAGGCATTCATCACTACCCCAATATTCTAAGGCGCTAAGAAGGTGCAGAAACATGTACCCACATCCAGGCCTGATATTATCCTTTAATTTTGGTGAGTTTTAGGGGTTGACGGAAGACGCAAAATGTCTGTGAGCAAGTCTCCTTTTCTATCAGACGTATTCTGCCAGTGCCATAAATGTATTTTGACCGTTTTGAATGTCCGATCGCTCGTGAAGACCTTGAGATTCGACACCCAGGACTGTTGTCTGACTGGGGACTGAATCCGGAAACAGCGCTAACCCGGCATACGGTGGGAATCCACTTCAAGCGTGGCGCGACGGGCGGGGCATAGAGCGGGCGGAAGGGCGCCGAGGCACGCACCCAGTCCGGCTCCTTCCCGTAACAAAACGCAAGGTCCCGGTGAGCAGTATAACAGCCAAGTATGGCACCCGCTGGCCCGAGGTGGCGAACGGTCAGCGTCACTTCAAGAACCTCTAATTATTCGTGAAAATGAAACTCGGGGAACCCGGAAACTGTCCTATGAACAGACGGGCTGTGGCCCAGGGGACGGCACTGCGACCCAGGGGATCCGAATGTGGCCCAGGGCTCCCAAACGATAGCTCAAGGGACCGAAAACTGCTTCCCAGGGGGACCCGAATGTGGCCCAGGGAACTCAAACGGTTTAGCTTCAGGTGACTGGAACTGTGGCCCAGGGGGCCGCCGAATGTGGCCCAGGGCACCCCAAACGGTAGCTCAGGGACCGAACTGTGGCACAGGGACCGAAACCACCGAAACCACACTGGCATCGGTTATATAATCTAGCAAATACTGTGGAGTTTAGTAGTTCCGCGCAGGTGGAACTGGAGTCCGGTTGGTGGCGGTGGACTTCCAGAAGATCCATTGCAGTGGCCGGTGTCTGGGAGCGAAGTCCCTGAATATCTCTTAATGAACTGGTACCATCGAAAAGGCTAATTATCATTGTCTTGTGATATTGTCCTCGCGTTGTGTTTTACGTTATAATTAACTTGCGTGCTCAATAAATGAACTCGCCATGTTCTAAAATAACTTAACTGCTCTTACTATTAAAACACGACAAATTCTTCACTTCATCTCTACGAGACTGCTTTATTTCCTTCTTAAAGAAATACTTCGTCGCGGGGCAATGCTCGTGCACAACATACAACAGATCCTCCTTAGCATCTCCCCCCGACCCTGGATGGCCCCTCTCGTTCATTCGGAACATCACTTCTACATCCCCCATGAGAACATCCACTCCTCCATTTCCATGCGGATGATTTGGTGACTGGTCTCTTGAATAGTCCCCTTGACGTCTTCACATCAACCACTCTGACCTCTGTGGTCTGGCCATGTGGTCTTGGATACGTCTTCTCGACTCGCGCCATCGGCCAAGTTCCTCGCGGCACGTTGGGATCAATAAGCAGGACCACTTTTCCTTCTCGCAGGTTCCTTCTGACTTCAGTCCATTTCTGTCGCGCTTGCAGAGTCGGCAGGTATTCACGTACCCAGCGACGCCAGAACTCTGTGCTAAGCTGGTGCAACGTCTCAGCGCTGTCGAGGCTGTTTGCAACCCATCTGTGCTCACTAAAGGTGTCATCTCAACTCTTGATGGACCCGTGATGAAGTATCCCGGCGTCAGCGGCGGCAGGTCGCTTGGATCAGACGAGACGGCTGTCAGTGGGCGGGTGTTGAGCAGTCCTTCAGCTCTGCAGAACGCTGTGTTCAGCTCCTCATTGGTGAGATCCGCTCGTTCCAAAGTCTTCACCAGCGCTTTCTTGGCCACCTGACCAACGCTTCACTCACTCCATTGAAATGGGGTGCGCTAGGAGGATTGAAGATCGACTTCGTCCGGTATTTCGAGAGCCCTCTTTGAATCGTATCGCTGTTCAGCTCCTGAACTGCTCTCTTCAGTTCTTTAGCGGCCCTCACAAAGTTTCTCCCGTTGTCGAATCTGATCTCGACTGGTCGACCTCTGCGCGAGATGAACCGCATCAGAGCGCGTATGAAGTTGGCGGTGTCCAGTGAGAAGCCATCTTCAGATGCGCAGCCTTGGTTTGTAGGCAGACAAAGATGCATAGGTAACGCTTTTGTCGCGTCTTCCCCCGTCCCTGCTTTGTCCAGAATGGTCCGGCGTGGTCAACAGCACATCTGTCGAAGGCTCGGAAAGACGGACGCACCATCGCATTTATCATCTGCGCCATTTCTTGTGTTTCTGGCTTCCTGTGCAACTTCTGACACGTAACGCACCTGCGTACGCAATACTTTATCATCTCTCCCGCTGCAGGAATCCAAAACCTCGTTCTCATCTCAGCTAAGGTGTGCTCTACGCCCAGTCCATGTTCAGCTTCTCCATGAACATGCTGGATAACCAGCCTGCTGATGGCGTGCCTTTTCGGCAGAAACATCGGGTGTTTGACTTCAAAACTCAGCTCTGATCGCTGCAGTCGGCCGCCGACTCGGATGGTCCCATCTTCCTCCAAGAATGGGCTGAGCTGTTTCACAGTACTCCAGTGGCATGTTCTCTGCGGTCGTGCGCCCGACATCTTCACTTGTTGAAGCTGCCCTATTTCATCTCGGAACGCATCCTTCTGTGCTTGTTGAACCCAGAACTTCTCATCTTCTTTTAGTTCCCCTGGGTTCAGTTCTCTGTCCGGTTGGAGAGGTGCTCGTTTGAGAGATCTTCTCGTGTAGAACTCTGATGAATCTCTGTACACGGGCTGTAACTCTCAAAAGTGTAGTCCAGCTTGAGAAATTTGCCGGGTTTAGCCGCCAGTTGGGACCCGACGGAGCTTGTACAGCAAACACATTTTCTGCGGGTCCTTCTTGATCTCGGACTGGTCGAACTCTTCTGTGGCGAATTCTTTCCCCCGTGGCCATCTGTTTTCGTCTCTCAGCAGAAACTTTGGTTCATGGCACCACAGCTGACTCTCCGAAAAATCCTTTAAAGTCAAGCCCCTGGTGGGTGCGTCCGCCAGGTTGTCTGACGCTGGCACGTGCTGTCACTGCTCGAGTGTTGTCAGCTCACGAATTTCCGATACCCTGTGAGCGACAACGGCTGAAAACGGCGGACTTCGTTTCGAATCCAGCATAGCACGTCCATCGAGTCAGGCCAAAATTGCACGTCTTCAATTTTCTTTCCCATGCCGTGCACAGCGTCTTCACAAGTCTCAATCCCAGCAGTGCGCCCATCAGCTCCGGTCTTCGGATTGTCTGCTTCTTCGCTCGCGGCGCCACTCTCGCGCGTGCCAGTGCGAGCTGAGAGGATCGTTCGCCGCCACTTTCTGACATGACGTAGATGGCTGCGCCATATGC